GCCCCTTTATACATCCATTAAAATGAGTTTATTTGGAGAAAAATGAATTTTAAAATATTGATTTTTTGAAAAAGAGTGGTTAATAAGTATGAGAAAAGTTTTGAGTTCACATATAAAATATTTTATTGTGTGAATGTGTAGTTAGAAATGAATTTGAAAAAAAAATATTAATAAATATCAAACAGGGCTTAATGAGATTATTATTATTATTATTATTATTATTATTATTATTATTATTATTCAAGCCACTTGAGCTTCATCCAAGCTCCCTAACGATAAGTTATGGTCAATCTAAAGTCGAGTTTTGACAGTTACGTTCATCACAAAATCTATAATTTTTAGTTACAACAACCAAATTGGAGTTTTAGATTCTTAGTTTATGTTCAATTCGAATTTGTTCAACCTCAAACTCGTTATATTATATTCAAACTTGTTAGAGACCTACAATCTCGATTTTAAGTTCAAGATTAGGTTAGTAGGTTACTCAAATGATGATGAGTAAAAATCAGGTTTTTGATATAATAATTTAAATCTTAAATATCAGGGTCGAAGTTTCCTTAAGCAAAAATCAGGTTTTGATATAATACTTTAAATCTTAAATATTTCCCTCAATTCATTTTCAAACCCTAATATTTATCCTTCTCTCTCTACCGCATTCTCTACTTCTCTCTATCAGAAAACACCACCGAATTTGGTAGCTTTCACGACGGCGACGACGTCTGCAGCAACCTGACCAGCGGCGTTCTGTTTATCTTCTCTCTCTCTCTACTCAACCTCACTCGGTGGCTCAGTAGCGCCACTTTTCGATCTTCGAAGAACGATTCGCGATGCTACATTCTTCCATGCCGACTATTGCCAGCTTGGGGAGGGGGTTTGTGTTTTTTTTCTCTCTTTCGGATCTGAGGAGGTTGCTGGCGGTGATGGTGAGGGGGTGGACGGTGGTGGCGATGGCGGTTCTGTGGTTGGGTGGCGTTTGGACGGGGTTTTGTGTGGTGGTGGTGGTGGTGGTGGTGATGGTGTTTGTGTGGTGGAGGTTTTGTGGTGGCGTCTATGGTGGTTGAATTGGCA